CAAAATGGTCGGATTAAATGGGGGACCTGTATCAGAGGAACTTGAAGTAGAGTCTTTCTGCTTCGCCACCTTTTGCTTCTTTGCCTTTGCCACCTCTTGCTGCTTCTCTTTCTTATCCGGAAACACTCTTGCAGCCACATCCAAGTCGTACAGGTCTTTCCACCAAATCAACTTCTCCTCTTTAGTTAGGCGCTGGTTCCAACTATCAGTTATATCACCGTCGCATACATCTTCCGAGTCCTCATTTACAAGGCGTGCCATAAGATATTGCTCATCCTCATCTACCTCCAGTATACTCTGAATTTCCTGTCAATATACAAAAATTCAATGAACACCAATATTTTAGCTAGAGGAAACAAACTTATTCAATTAACACTAACCTTAGAATCTCCAAGCGCACCATAAATCTCTTCTAGTGGAAAACCGGTCATACTAGTAGCTTTGAACTTCTGCTTGCACATGAGAGGACAAGAACTGTCACAATCTTTTACATCTTCTCAAAATTTAATCTTCAGATTTTGAATACACTCAAAAGCCAGCGCCTAAAAGAACATAGAAGTACATGAGAACAAAAGTAAATCATAAAACATATGCAGTTATACTTATAAATCCCAATTTTACCTCTAAAGGTATTATGAATCCAGGAATGGAGGTCGAGTCCTTCACAGAGCCATCCATTTTATGCAGCATCGAATGAATTGACTCTACGACTTTATCAAAAGTCCATCTTCCCCACGGAAAAGTTTTACAGGCCTCCAAATCATTAACTATCTTAAGCAAGAAACTATCTATTGCTCCATCATACTTGGTTATTCCTCCAATTACTGTGCACAGCAGATAAAGCACCGCCATCTTCAACCGATCCCCACAAGCCATCATTGTCTCCAGCTTTTTCTTGACATCTTGCACAGTTATCATTTTTTCCCCTCAAAATGCCTTTTCTCGAACTCATCACCATATAACTTCTCATAATTCTCTGGGTACTCATGGCAGTCAAATCCAGACACAAGTGCATGCTCTCTTATGGAGTACCTAATGGGAACACCATTAACCACAAATCAAAGTACCCTTCCTCCCTCATTTTTAACTGTACGCACAGCTAGCATCCAAAACCCCATCAGCTTACGAGTTCGTTCGAGAGGCATGTGAAACAAGTGACAAAACTGCGGATGACTTCTGAACCACCCTAGCTCGTCTCCGTCTCTTAGGCTTTTAGAAATCAGACTCACTGTATTCATCACTTCACACTTGGATTGTATCTTAGGATATTGGACAAATTCTGAGCTCTCGAAGTAAAGCTCAGGAGGATGCATACCTTCCGTATCCTCCTCAGAATCCTGAAAAATAAATATACATACACAAATTTAGTTAATATTTAAGCTCAGTAATACTCAGTTCCATCTAAGAATACTAGTTATACCAACCTAAGAATACTAGTAATACTAAGAATACTAGTTATACCAACCTAAGAATACTAGTTATACTAAGAATGCTAGTTATATCAACTTAATAATACTAGTTATACCAACATAAGAATACTAGTTATACTAAGAATACTAGTTATACCACCTACGAATACTAGTTATTCTAAGAATACTAGTTCTATCAACTTAATAATACTAGTTATACGAACATAAGAATACTAGTTATACGATAGTTATACTACGAAACTAAGAATGGAATACAGACCTTTGAAGATGTAGCTTCTTCTTCTTCACTCTCCCCTTCACTCTCACTTTTTTCTTCCTCTTCACTCTCCTCTACACTCTCACTCTTTTCTTCCTCTTCACTCTCACTTTTTTCTTCCTCTTCACTCTCCTCTACACTCTCACTCTTTTCTTCCTCTTCACTCTTTTTTTCCCCTTCACTCACGTCTCCACCTGAGAGAGACCAACCGTATCCAGATTCACAACCAGAGGCATTAACGTCTTGGTGAATTCAACAATTACTGTATAAGTTATGTACTGTATTAAGCAATTAATCAAGCAATGCTCATATCTCACAGTTTTTGTATAAGTTGTTCCTTAATTGGGTGAGTTCTTATGTGGCATTTTACGTGAGATGAGAGTAATATTCGCTTTTGTAAAGATATTTTCCGAAACCGTAAGAGGAAAGAGAATAGTTATATGATTTCTTTTGTAGATTCTCGAGCGTGTCTCAAGCTTTAAGATTTATCTCGTGATTCAGTCGTTCTGTTTATACAGGCCAGGTGTTAATTCACCGAGGAAGACGTAGCTCCCGTAAACTAGGAGGGCCGAAGGGGATCAGGCGGGTCGGGTTTTGTTTATCTGGTTTGGGTTATGGGAAATCATATCTTCTAAATGCTATTTTGTTTAATTGATCGCCATTTTTAAAATTTAACTTTGCAGGTGGAATTGAGCAGAGAAAAATAGTTTAGGAGGGAATATAATTAAATGTACGAATTCAGGTGAGAAAATCAAGAGTTTTCAAGTTTGGGGGGGATTGAGGCAGAAATAGTATTATAGAGGGAGGTTTAAGCAGTAAACCCTATTCTTAATGTTGTTTGCGGCAGTATGGTTTCAGGCTTCTTTACCCATTGAGTTTTGGAGTAAATGTATCTTAATTGCAGTGTATCTAATCTATAGGACTCTGACTCCTCTTCTTGATGGTCAAAGCCCCTTTGAGCGTCTCTATAGGTGTTCACCTCCGTGTGTTTGGTTGTTTATGCTATGCTCACAATAAAAATCATAAGGATGACAAATTTGATACTAGGAGCATTAAAGGGATTTTCCTGGGATACCTGGTCTGGAGAGTTTTTAACACACACATGAACAATATTTATCTCCATAGATGTAGTGTTATATTAGTTTGACTTTCCCTATTCTTCTCGTCACTTACACACCTCCAAGACATAGTTGCCATTTCCACCAACCACATCGTCTCCTTCAGTTTTAGCAGATATGTCTCCTTTACCATTGGTTGTATCGCCTTCTTCCTCTGTTGTTTTGCATGATATGCCAGTTGTTGATGTGCCCACTACATAGCATATTTCGGAGATGTTGGGCTCTGTTTCCCCTATTCAAGACCGTAATGCAGACTTTGATTCTCATGCTGCAGGATTGCCTTTGCTGGTTGAAGAATCGGATTCTTCTTCATCTACCTCTGTTGAGTTCTTAGCTATGTCTCTTATCACGTCAACTACATCACTTGTCTCTCATTCAATGCCTGCTTATGACTCAGATTTACTTGTTGCTAATGCTACTGAAGAAAATGGTTCTTTTGAAGCTCCATTAAAGTTGGGATGTGGTCATCGTTCCAAACACTTGCTAGCCAAGCTTAGGACTACGTTTTCCAAACTATTTCTCTTATTCTATTTTGCTGCTCCATACTCGTTAGAATACTATGTGGATTGTTCTCGTTTCTCAAGAAATCATTGTCAGTTTCTAGCTGTGTTATCTTTTATTACTAAACCATGTTTTTACTGAGAAGCTGTTATAGATGAGAATTGGAGGAATGCGGTTCGAGCTGAAATTGATTCTCTAGGATCACTTGGTACTTGGACCATTGAAGATTTACCTTTTGGTAAGCACACTCTTGGTAGTAAATGGGTTTTTAAGTTGAAGTTTCATTCAGATGGAATGTTAAAGAGATATAAAGCACAATTAGTGGTTTTATGTAATCATCAGATTGAAAATGATGATTCTGATAAGACATTTGCTCCTGTTGCCAAAATTGCTAATGTTCAAACTTTCTTGCAAATCGCAGCTTCTAGGAACTGAGAGATCCATGAGATGGATGTTCATAACGTGTTTCTTCAGATGATTTGAAAGAAGAAATTTACATGTGCCTTCTTCCTGGACTTCGGGGTTCTGGTGAATACAAAGTTTTCTGCTTACACAAGTCTCTCTGATGGTTTGCGTCAGGCTCCTTGCTTCTAGGTAGTAAAACTTACTTCCACCTTACATAGCTACGGGTTAATTCAAGCTATTCCAGTTACTCATTATTCAATTTGGAAAAAGATCAAATTTTCTCTAATTTCTTGTTTATGTTGATGATCAGATTCTTTTGGAAAGTTCTTGTCCATTATTACTTCTTCAAAGTTTATTTGAGTCAATGCTTCCGTATGAAGGATTTGGGTATCTCCAAGTTTATTCTTGGCCTTGAACTTGCTCGGAGCCCTACTGGTATTTATTTGTGTCGGCAAAAATATACTTTAGACATTATTTCGGAAGCCGGCTTACTTGCTGCGAATCCTGCTGCATTTCTTCTTGAACAGAATCACAAGTTAGCTTTAGACAAAGGTCCAAATTATCTGCATGTTGTTGGGTATCATAGACTTGTTTGGCGTCTTAACTATCTCGCTTGTACTCATCAGGATTTTTTGTACTCTGTCCATCTGCTTTCTCATTTTATGCAAAAACTGAAACAAGCTCATTAGGATGCTGCTATTCGAGTTGTACGATACTTGAATAGAAATCCGGGTCAAGAAATTCTTTTGCGTGCACTCATTGCTTGGTGTGATTCAGATTGGTCCGGTTGTCCTATTACAAAATATTCTCTTACATGTTGGTTTCTTCAATTGAAAGGTTCTCTAATATCATGCAAAACACATACGAAAAATAATGTCTCATATTCATGTGCTGAAGCAGAATATCGTGTAATATCTCTTTAAGAGCTTCTTTAGATCAAGAATTTGCTTTGTTCTTTGGGTATCGATCATTCTACACCAATGGTTTTACATTGTGACAGCAAATCTGCTATACACTTAACTGCCAATCATATCTTTCATAAACGAACAAAACATGTGGAAAACTATTGTCATTTTATACGATACGAGATCATCACTGGAAACTTAGCTACTAGTTATGTCTCTATGCATAATCAGCTTGACGACATCTTTACAAAGGCCATTGGTCGTCGTAAGTTCGAAGATTTCATATCTAAGTTAGGCATTTATGACCTTTATACTCTAAAAGAAGACGTATTATGAAAACATATCCGGATATATCGAAGATATAAATATTTTATATGACATTATATTGGACACCAACTTAATATTAGATTAAACTTTTTGTATAAATATTTGAGCCGTTTGTACACAAATCAACAAGAAGACATTTATACAAATCTTAGGTTTCTTGACACAAAGTATACTCACTATACGCAATAATCCTATACGAATAATCTACAAGTGATGCCACTACCATAAACATCTTATTGTATCGAAAAGAGATGCATAATCTTTGTATTACCCCCAAAAATGATACAAGCCCTTTTTGTATCTCTTTCTTTTCTTCTTTCCCCTTTGTTGTGTTTCATCCACTTCCTCTCCTTAAGATCTATTTTCTCAGTCTCTCTTGAACGAATTCATCTCTGAAAGCTTTCCGATAAAACGGAACTCTACATTTTATGATGCAGTTGAGATCATTCAAGTTACCTTTGAGGATCTCAACCACCTAAAAATAAAGGCAAAACATCAAAACACAAAGACAAATTATTTTACTTGCTATACAAGTAACTTCGCTTATGTACCTGACTCATCCCAGGCCTCTCTATTGATGATTGCTGGATTGATAAAGAAGCAGCCAAAAGCACAAGTTTGATCTGCCTCCACACGTAGTCACCCGCTAGAGATGGATCGATCAGCTCTCTAATTTTGTTCTTCCTCATCAATGGTTTCGCCTGCAAACATAAAAATGAAATGAACTAACAACAAATGTGGAAATTTAACTATGTGAAAAGACTTGTTTCAACTCACCCATAGAACAAGACTTTGCTTGGAGTAGTCAAGAGCTCGTCGTCCAGTAACAAGTTCTAGTAAAAGTACACCTAAGGCGAATACATCGGTCTTTTCATCTACTATCCCGTGAGTTAAGTACTCAGGAGCAAGATATCTGAAACCAAGGACGAAATATTACATCTCTTAGACTTTCTTGATGAGAAACCATTAATCCAAGAAAATATATTTTAAAAAAAAGAATAGACTCACCCGAATGTGCCCTCAAACTTGGAAACAACATGGTGTGTCCAATGTTCGGGTAACCACTTCGCAAGCCCAAAGTCACATATCTAACACACCCCAAGAAATTTTCATTCACAGGGTCAAGAATTGAAAAATGTGTTTTATTTGTTCCCAAGAATCATATATGTATCTATAGTACCTGAGGCGAAAAATCATGCGTGAGAAGAATGTTTGCAGCTTTGATATCTCTGTGTATGATTCTCCTGTGACATCCTCTGTGAAGATACACCAACCCCTCTGCAACTCCCAATGCTATCTTGTACCTAATGCTCCAATTCATCTTCTCCTTTGAGCCTATTATAATAATCAAACAACTTATTCTCTTGATGCAAAATGTGATAATCAATAATAAAGGCAAGAGAGGAAGAATGTGGACGAGAGTTTACTATATAGCATAGAAGCTAGGCTTCCATAAGGTGATAACTCAAGAACAAGGTGCATTCCTCCTTCGACTCCATAGCCTAAAAGCTTGGCTATGTTTGGATGGTTGACATGCGCCATTATACCCATCTCCGATAGAAAATCGGCGATGTTCTCTTCACTATTTCCCCGCATCAGCCGTTTAATCGCTACCATTTGTCCATTTGACAACTTTCCCTTGTAAACTTCAGCATAACCTCCTTTTCCAATTAGATTCTCTGTTCAAATCCATCAAAATATTGCAATAGTTACATGAAAATGTTCTTGTTTTTAGTAGTATGTGTTCAATATTCAGTTCCACAGATTATACTTTTTCTTGATAACAGTTGAAATCATAAAACATTCAGACTCAAGATTACATAGTTGATTATCTGCCCAAATTCATCAAAATATTGCTACAATTACATGAAAATGTTCTAGTTTCAGTAGTATGTGTTCAATATTCAGTTCCATAAATTTTATATTTTCTTGATATCAATTGAAATCATAAAAACTTCAGACCCAAGATTACATAGTTGATTCTCTGCCCAAATCCATAAAAATATTTCTACAATTACAAAAACAAAAAATGTTCAAGACTAGTATGTGCTCAGTATTCAGTTCCATACATTATACCTTTTCTTGATAACAATTGAAATCATAAAACATCCAGACCCAAGATTACGTGTTTGATTCTTTGCCCAAATACATCAAAAATAATGCTACAATTGCATTAAAATGTTACAGTTTTAGTAATATGTGTTCAATTTTCAGTTCCATAAATTCTACTTATTCTTCATAACAATTGAAATCACAAAACATTCAGTCCGATGATTACTTGAAAACAATCAAAAGTTACCTAAAACGATTGCTAATGGTCACAAATTCATTGATGAAGAAGAAAGAAAAAGATTACATTGGTTTAGTAATTTTCTGATTTTTACTATAGATTTTTACTAAACCAGAAAAGAGATATATATTTTTACTAAACCAGAAAATCAACAATTCAAATTTTATCAAACCGATACTAAACCATTTGGAGACAGAGAGAACAAATTTCAGATTTTAGTACTTACCTAAAGCGAAATTGTTTGTAGCAGCTTTGAGATCAGAGAAAGAGAAGATTCTTCGAGGATTGAGAAGAAGAAAGTGAGAATCATTGGAGCTAAATCTGAGATTCTCCCTCAAGCTACTGCATCTCCTCAAAGAGCTTTTAATGGCATTGTTGTGAAACGGAATCTTCAGATTCTCCAGCGATTTTTTCGATGTGCTTCTTAGAAGCTGAACGATTTTGCGGAAACGGGAGGAGGAAGGGTTCTTCATCGTCGTCTCGGAGCTATCGAATTCTTCGGTTCTGAAGAATTCTTCGAGAACTCCGGTCGGAGAAGAAGAATCTGGAACTTTCATAGTCGCGATGCTCTGAAGAAGATGACAAAAAAAGGATTTTTGAATTTCGATGGACAGACATTCAGCAATTAATTTGAAACTTGAAGCGGCGCATTTTTTAGTTTTCCGCGAAAAGTGAAAAATCTTTTTTTTTTTCAATTTTATTATAATATAAAAGAATAGAAACTCGAACATGGAAAATTTGCAAGCGAAGTTAAGAGAGAAGAAATAAGAAAAATTCTTTAGTAAACTGATAAAATGCAAGAGAAATTAAAACAAAAACTAAGAGAAACAATTATTTGGGAGCAATGAAAATGGCCTATTGTAATTGAGTGAATCACCCAAAAAAAAGGTTAGAGTACTTGTGAAAATAAATAAAAATGGCTTCCATTATGAAAGTTTTGCACATATCTTAGACATTTAATTATTAACAAATAAATGTAGAATTTTCAAAAAAAAAAAAACAAATAAATGTAGAAAATGAAAAAAAAAGGCAGAATCTGATAAGTAAAAAAAACATAAGAATATATCTTTAAAAAGACTTTGACAATATACCATGAGAGAAGAGAAACCGAGAACACCTGAAACTCAATATACTCTGCTGAATGAAGTGAGAGAGGGTAACTGGTGGAGACTATTATCACTTAAGGCGTATCATAAACCATCGCTTTCTTACCAAAATATATAAGACCATCCAATGTCTATTGTTTTTTACCTTAATAAGCAAAATGGTAATGATAGAAAAAGAGTCCTTGTCGTCATTTCTGTAATGAAATGATGTGACATATTGCTTAAGGGGTAAAATACACTGTAAATCCGATTTTTTCTTAACATTTAAAAGGAAAAGAAAAATCGCCCAATCATGATTTTTGTTGTTTGCTGTATTTGTCTCTAAATATTGCCACCTCGCCTAATTTCTGGAAAGAAAGCAATTGTATTTTGTTTTTCCAGAAAAAATTGTATGTTTTTTTTTTCATCTGCATACAGTAATTAAAAAAACTGAGAATGTGGCTTAAGCTCTAAATTATATCAATTATAATTTATAAATTTTGTACAGCCAAAATATATTTTTTTTTGGTTGTACAAAGTATTTTTTTTATAAAGTACATAAATTTATGCTTTCTAAATTTTATAATTTTATTGTCAAAATTTTTTTAAGAAATAAAAAATCTATAGCTATAGCAAAAAAAAACTACATCTATATTTCTACAACAAAAATATAAAACTACAGATATTACCAATTGTTGAACCCAAAAATCACCTCTAGAGTTTGATTAACAGTTGTGGGTTTCGGAGAACAAAGTCTTTTTATTAATAGCAAGAAAGCGAAGCAATTACAAAGAAATGTATGACCGAAAAGTTATGCCGAAGTGAAAAAGGTGTTTGCGAAATAAACTAGAAAGCATTGAAGTCTTTGGTTTTAGCTCTGCTGCTCTCTAAAATGTATGAGTTGTTCTTCTTAGCTTCATGGTCGCTTTATTTATAGGGATATGAGGTCGGTTGCTTGGAACTCTTTTTCTTTTTTTCCTTTGGTGAATATTTCCATATCGCAAATATGAAAATATCCCTTATTCTCCGAACAATATGGAAATTCTCCCTTATCTCTTGAGTTGATCCGATGTTTCCGGCCTTCGAAAGTTATCACCAAGAAGTTCTCTTTAATCCGAGCTAGGTCGGCGCGGTCTTCTTGGTCTTGATGGGCTTAGGTTACTGCTAGAGAAAGCTCTTTAGGAAATGTGCTCATTTCCCCTCTAACAGTAAGTCCCCCCCCCCAGTTCGGCAAGACTGATTGTAAATCAGGTCGGCAGACTTCATGAAGTCTTCAAGTGAGTTTGATCTCGCAATAAGCGTTAGCTCGTCAAGAGCGTTGCTTCGCGATGGCCAGCTCGGCCCGATTTTATGTGGACTTGATGCGTGGCGCTTTTCAGGAATTAATTATTAAATACTCCGACCCATTTTTAGGGTTTTGCTTTCAAGCGGAAAGGCGAAAGGTTCGCCAGGCAGATTACGAGAATCTTGACACGCGTCCTTTTAGGAAACTGTTGAAATTTCTTTATGATTTTATTACTTACTTTTATCTCTTCATCTTCTTGCTCCGGACATCTCTTTATTTTCTTGCTTCAGAAAACTCTTAACTCCCTTCTGTTTTGTGATAATTTTCCTTTCTTTATTCGCCGATCTTCTTAGTTGCTTCTGTAATCCATTCAGAAATTTTTCCAAAATGTCGATTTCGTCTGCGAACTCTTCTTTCGATGACAACGAGATTTGTCTCGCCAATCGCGCCAGGCGGGCCTGGATTAGCCCGATGGCTTCCTCTTCTTCTAATTCAAGAGAATCCTCGGGTTACCGAGATGAGATCCTGTCGGATCATCCCGACGCGGATTCCGAGATGGATTTGGATGGTCTCGAGCCGGAGGGCTTCGAGTCAAAAAGTAAAATTGAAGGTCTTCAGCAGAAGATAGCAATGTCGAAGCATATGACCGGTATCAAGGACGGAAGGACCTGGATGACTGCAGAAAGACTTCAAGAGCTTCGCTCAAAATGCCTCTTTCTCGAGGGAGTCGAGCTCCTACTTCCCCAGGTTAATGAGAGAGTAACAACACCGCCAGAGGGTTATTTCTGTACTTACGAATGCCACTTCGCGGACTTCAGCCTTCAGTTCCTGATTTTGCTGCTGATATGTTACTGTGAACGGAGGAAGATGCCGGTGGCGCAGCTTTCTCTTGCTGTAATTCGTTATTTCAACAGTCTGGCGGCGGTGGCTCGTGCGGCGATGGTACCCTTTAACTGGGATATCTTCGAAATGATATCTATTCTGAAGATAGGGAGGCTAAACCAGGGGGGGGGTGGCGCCATTTTTTATACTACGATGAAGGAGGGGATCGTCGGTGGGGACCCGACAAGTAAAGTCCATGAATAGGACCGGTTTTTCATTTATGTGAAGATTAACAAGTCGTCCATCGGCAGCTCCGATCTCAATTTATTTAGGACCTGGAGGTCGACGCCATATAAGGCAAACTGAATTTTTATTTTTTCATTTCTCTGGCTAATTTTTGGATGTTGATGTGTTTTCTTTCTCCCCCCTTTTTGTCATGGCAGTGGCAATACGCCTTGGAGATGAACCATTTGGGTTTGACGTCGATGTCAAGAGGCTGCACGACCTAACCCGGCAGGTATGGTCCGAGAAGGAGAAAAAGTTGGCCACCGAGAAGAAGGTGGCCAAACCGGCCGAGAAGAGGGCCAAACCTTTGAAAGCAGGTAACTTACCAGATCGAAGTAGTTTTCGATTTCTTTGAAGGGTAGTACCTTATTCCTATGTTTCGAATTATTTTCACAGCTGCCAAGAAGGTTTCGTGGCCGAGGTCTGAAGGAGCTGGCCAAAAGAGGAGAAGGGCGGTTTCGGCAGCGAATGCTGATATCCTAACGAGCTCCCCTGCAAATAGAAGGAGGATGATTCCCCAAGACCCACCTACTTTGGTGGATTCTGACGATGCCGAACTGACCACGGAGAATGAGACTCTCACGAGGTAGACTTCATATTTCATTTTGTTCTACCAAGGTGAGCGTTTTTTGACATTTTTCTTTTTTTTCTTTTCTTTTTGAAGTTTCTCCAGAGCGGCCGTGCTAGAGAGATTGAAGCGGGCTCGGGCTGAGAAAGATGCGAGGGGTTCTCAGGGCGAAACGTCCCAAGGAACTACCTCTCAAGCCGTAGGTGGTGGCGATAGGGGGAGCTGTCATGATACTGTTCCCTCGCCGTCTTGAGCTAATGTTCCTCAAAGTCCTGATGTCCAGGACACGGGAGATGCGGGTCGGAAAAGGACCGAAGAGCCTGATATGGCTCATTCTGAAGGGCCGACTCCTTCCGAGATTGCTCCAGACATCAAAGATGTTGGTCCCAGTGCTCCTGATGAGGCTGCTTCATCTGATGGTGCCAGTCCAAATGCTCCGGCCGAGCCCAAGCAAGAGGAGGAGTCTTTTGATTATAATCCTCATCATTTTTGCGCGAGGTGGGACGTGACTACTCCGGCGATGTTTAACCGTGAGTTTGTCGTGAACTTGATCTGGAAGTGCAGGAAGAACCCGCGATGGGGCAAAGCCACTTCGAGAGCTGAAGCTGTCGGATTCAATATCTTCAGCGAATCATTTGATAGCTCGGGCATTTTTTGTTTATTCTTTGGTTGCTAGTGTGTTGTGCCCCTTTTTATTGCATGTTTCTGATAATAATTCGTGATGCAGGGCATGGGAATGTATACGTCCGCATTCGCGGCATATGATAATAATTTTTGCCAAGAAGAGATGATGCTGGATGCCGCCTGTACCGAGATCAAGGGGCTCAGAAAAGTGGAGGAGGAGAATCAGCTTCTAGGAAAGGTGCGCTCAGCTCGAAAGCGTTGTTGAAGCCTTTGAGAGCGAGGTATCGGAAGCTTTTCGGCTTCGCAAACAGGTGGCTGCCCTCAGCGAGAAGAATAAGTTGCTCGAGAAGCTGAACGAGGAGAACTCGCAAAGGTTCCTCGCTGAAAAGGAAAAGCTTCAAGGGTCATATGACGAGGCAGCGCGAGGCATTGCTGATAAGATCTTTGACGGCATGATCGCTTGGTTTAAACCGCGACTAGATTGGATTCAAGCGTCGCTGGTTCAGCGCGAGGAGGTAGAGGCAGCCCTTGTGGGCGTGGAGAAGAATAGCATGATGGTAGCATTTTTAAAGAAAATGCAGGAAAATGGATGAGAACTCCCTGCCGGAACTCTCCTATCCTTTGAGAGGGAGTTTGCTAAGTGGAAGGCGACCAGTGATGCTATCGATGAGATAGTCATTACCGATGAAGATCTTAACCTCCCGAGCAGATTGGAGATCGACAGCCTGCTGAAGTGAGCTAAGGGACGACGCACATCGAACTGTTTATATTTTTATTTTTATTGACCCTTTATTTTTGTAATAACTTTGACCTTTCGGGGGTTTTTATAATGGAATTTCGTCTTTTCCTCTTTAATTTCAAGAAATTAGATTTTTCCTTTAATTTTTCGAAGTGCAATGAACTTTTAGTTCGGAACTGGAAGCGAAATTCTTCTGCCCGTCTTACTTCAAATGACGATCAAGATCGAATACCAAGTATTCAGGAATCACTTCAGCCTGAATGGTATGATCGAGGGTCGTGCGAGTATTGTCCTCGGCTTTCTTCTTATCTACTTCGAAAGTAATTAAATCGAACCGAAGTATCAAAGGAGTGGTGATCAGCCACTTTTTTTTGTGTTTGCCTTTTTCGAATCAAATGTTTGGCCAGAACATTCGCATAAGAAAATATGGCTCTACATGCCGAGCTGATTTCCCGAAATAAAAATTTATTAAATCTACAGCTGCACCCGGAGGTTGTCTACGTATCCAAGTTGGGATCAAGCTGTTCGTAGTTCATTACAATTATTGAATGACTAGTATTACTCAGGGGCCAAGCTCGCTTTTATTGAAAAAAAGAAAAACTAAGTATTAGAGTAGTTAGATTCGTTGTAGAATCTTCTTTGCTTATTTAGCATCCTCGAGGGCTTTTACCGCGGAGAGTTGCACCTTTCGTTCGCTAATAAAGCAGGATCTTGCCATCTGTTGGCTGCCGTGAAGCATGAAAATTCCAGCCG